CCTTCGGTGGAGCTCCCTATAGGGCCACGAACCGTGAGGGGTGCGCCAAAATGGCGCGGGGCCGCCATGCGAACCCTGCCACTGGGGCTTTCGGTGGAACCCCCGATGGGGCCACGAACCGTGTGAGGGGTGCGCCAAAATGGTGAGGGGAGCGCCAAAACGCGGGGCCGCCATGCGAACCCTGCCACTGGGGCCTTCGGTGGAGCTCCCTACGGGGCCACGAAACGCTGCACTGGGTGGGTGAAACGCAGGGAGGAGGGAGGAGGGGGAGGAGGAGGGGGCAGCGGGAGGAGACGCGGGGCACCGTCTCTTCAAAACGAGGACCCAACACCACAGGATGGTTGGGAAAAACTTCGGTTTCGGAAAGATCCCCAATTCGAGCGCCCAAAAAACAATGTTTTTATTTGCAACACGGAGTTCCAACAAAAGCGTGCGCGCGCCCTTGCGAATTCTCAAGAAAACAATTATTTTTTCAACACTTTGACAAAATGCTACCAAACGGGCTTCGCGCGCGCGCATGTCGAAATCGTTCGAACGCCCTTGCGCCCGTGCTGGGGTGGCACGGTCTGTCTCAAATAATGCCATGCGAGCCACTCTCGCGCGTCTGCCGCGCGAATTTCGAATTCCTTCCAAAACCTGCATCACCGACGCGAAGACGCCGTCATCGCCGCCGACGTGATCGACATCGGCGCCGTCACTGGCCGTGCCGTCGTCGCTGCCACCAGCATCGTCACCAACAGCGCTACTATCATCATCATCGTGTCTACAAGTGCCGACGTTGCCATGATACCGCACACACCCAAGCCGCCGACTCGCACTCAAGTGACCGCCTGGATGTACCAAGCGGTCAACACCACCGCGGCCGCGCCGGTCGCGCCAAACTACCTGGCCGCCGCGCGCGCGCATGCGCGGGCTGGCGCGGCCGCAGAGATGCACCAGCCAGCGCCAAGCACTCATCGCAATCGCTGCCGCATGAGGTTGGCAAACCAAGTTGCGGGTGGGCGGGTGGGCTGTTTGCGCGAGCAGTGGAGTGGGCAACTCACCGCGAACAGAAATTACTTGCACCACAGAGATTGCACCACAAACGCGCTCACTGTACACAGGAATCCCACCAGCCCTCTGGGCGTCGGTGGTTTAGGGAGTTTCCTCCTTCTTCCCCTTCGGGGAACGGTTTACCCCTCCCCCTACCACCCCCCTCTGGACCTGGACAGGGGGTTCCGCGAGTCGTTGGAGCGTCCAAAACGGCCTCGGCGAGGAAGCCAAAAACATTGGTTGTACTCAGGTTTTGGCCCCGTCTTGGCTTCCTGAGGGGGGACCCCAATTAGGGACCCCCCCCTCCTGCGAGCGATCTCACCCAAGATGGCCCAAAGATGGCCCCCAAGGCTCCCAAGGGTGCCCCAAGAAGGCCCCAAGAAGTGGCCAGGAAGCCCCAAGAGGCCCCCAGGATGCCCCCAAGATGCTCCCAAGAGACCCCCAAGAGGCCCCAAGAGACCCCCCAGAGGCACCCAGGATGCTCCAAGAGGCCTCGGCGAGAATACCAAATCATTGATTGTTCTAAGGCTTTAGCCACAGGTTGGCCTCCTGGGGGGGGGCACTGGTTAAGATGGCTCCAAGAGCGCCTGGGAGAGCCCAAGATGACCCCCAAGATGGCTCAAGATACCCCAAGATGTCTCATATTGGCCCCCACGATGTTCCTAGATGCCCCAAGACCGCTCCAAGACGGCTCCAAGTGGCCAAAGAGCTGCCCCAGGAGGCCCCGAAGAGGCCAAAACCTAAAGAAAATCGATGTGTTTGGCTTTCTCGCCTTTTCGCTTCCGATGGCCATCCGAGGCCTCAAGATGGCTCCAAGATGGCTCAAGAGGGCCCCAAGAGAGGCTCAAGAGAGCTCCAAGACGGCCCCAAGAGCGCTCCAAGAGCGCTCCAAGAGCGCCCCAAGAGCGACCCAAGAGGCAATGTTCGGGGCTCCCGAGGGGCAACGCAAACTAATGCTCGCTTCTTGTTTGATCGATGTCCTCCAAGATGGCCCCAAGAGCGCAAGAGGGCCCCAAGAGGCGCCCAGGAGGCCCCAACAGGCGCCCAAGAGGCCTCCAAGATGCTCCCAAGAGAGCCCCAAGAGGACCCAAGAAGCTCCCCGAGGCACCCAAGACGCTCCAAGAGGCCTCCACTGGGGGACCCTTCCTCTGCGTGCTGCCCACTTCCCAGATCGAGGCAATTCCTCTGGGCATCGTTTCTGGATGGGCTGGTGGGGTTACTTTTTTGGTCGGCGGCCGCGCGACCACGGTCGGGCGGCAACAGCGATGTCCGGGACTACGGATCAAGGCAAATTACACGCGACGCGCGAGGTGCAACTGGTGGGGATACTTTTTTGATTAGCGGCCCGCAAGGAAAAGTCCAGAGGGCGCGAGTACCGAGGCTGGGGCACAGCGCAAGATAATTAGCGCGAGGACGCGCGGAGTGCACACGCAAAGACCAATTAAGGCCACGGCAAGCGTAAGCCAGCGAGGAGTCGCCCTGACGGCGCCAACTCGCGAAGAAACGGACACAAGCAGCCAGCCGCGAGGCACGCACAGCCTGCACCTGTGCAGCAACAGAGGCCAAACCAGCCGAAGGCGGCGGAAGCGGCGGGCGAACGGAAGCGCGAGCAAGCGAGGAG